GCTCGGCCACCCGGGACGCGGCGGCCCCGGGATAACCGGCACGTGGAGAGCGGGACCGCTCCGAGTGGGCCCGGTGCTGTGTCGGGGTCCCGGGAGCCTCCCCTGGAACATTTCCAGGCCAGTTTTCAACTTGCTCTCAGAATAGATGAGGGCTGCCTTATTTTTGCTTTCCATTCAGTGTTTTGCTCTTGTTCAGTTTTTATTTTCTATTTTTGCATACTAATTAGGTGCTTGCTTTTTAGTTTGATTTTTATGGCCTACATATTCTCCATGTTTCTCTGGCAACCTGACAGCTGATGGATCCCTTGGGGTTGCTAAGAATTACTTATGATGCAAGCGAGGCAGCGGGGCCGTTTTCTTACGGTAGCACTTCCAAGGGGGAGGAGTGGGCAGGGAATAACGGAGGGCTCATTAAATGCCTTTCCGCTGGCTGACCAGGCCTCCAGCAGTTCCCTCTTTCTGGAAGATGAAGCGTTGCTTACAACAGGCTGCTTGGTCTGTTCTTTGGATGAAAACAACCGGCCGGCACTTGCCGCGGTCGGGAGGACGTTCTGGGGGCGGGAAGCGGTTGCGGTGGCAGGACAGGCCGTGCCTGGGGCGCAGGCTCCGGCCCCGCCGCCGTTCCCGGTGCCGCCGTTCCCGGCTCCGCAGGGAGCGGGAGGCCGGAGTCTCCATGGAGGGCTAAAGCAGACCCATGGGGCCAGAAGGAACAGGCAGGGGCCAAAGGGCTCTGCTAAACGTGGCCCGTAGCGCCTCGGCGCGCGCAGGCTTTAGAGCTTCCCGTATTCATTACAAACTTCAATATTTCCCTATTGATTTTGACTGTTCTGTAACCGTTGTATTTTGGCTAATGAAGCAGAAACCAATCTTGGGTCCTTTCCCTTTGTGTAGCTACAGGAATGAGTCAGCTCTGTTTAACTGTTGGCAGAGAGGGAGTTTACATTTGAATTTTGCTGTCTAACTGGAGCGCTGGAACTTTAAATAAGAAAGTAAACACATAAAGCCGGTGGGTGATAATATTTTTCTTTCAAGCCCGATTCAGGAGGCTTAATCTGCTCCCTTCACGTTAACGTTGTGGCTGCTGGGATGCAGCCCAAATCCCTCGGAGCAGCGGCCGGGCTCTGGGGAGGACTCGGGTCCCGTCCGAGCGGTCTCGCCCGGTCACAGCGGGGCAGTTTTGGGCCGTTCCTTGTCCTCGGTGCCCGTCGCGGCCGCTCGGGATCGCCGGGATCTCGGCGGGAGCGAGGGCGGTGGGTGCGCGAGGGAGCAGCGCTCCCGGCGTGAAGGCTTCGCTGCAGCTCGGGAGCATGGAGCACTGCTCAACTATTAATATTAAAGCCATTTTTCTACAGCAGCTCGCTGTTCAGATGTTGAATACAAGCTGTTCTGTTTGTTTAGGAAAACGGGGAAGAATGAGAGAAAGGGAAGGCTGGGAAACGCTGCCTAACCAGGCAGCCGGCTTGTGATTTACTAGGATTTGTTCGGGTTCTTGCTTTTGCAGCTCAAATCCTGCTGCTCATTTTTAGCTTTTAGTTTCCGAACAGGCGGGTTGTGGTGCCGGGAAGGAGAGGGCGGCCGAGGGGGCTGCGGGGACCGCGTTGGGCTGCGGTGACGGCCGAGCAGCCCCTTCCTCTGGGAGCCTCGGCTGCCCGCGGGGCTTTTGGCGAGGGGTCAGTGTGGGTCTAACGGGCACAGGGCAGCTCGGGATGGGGAGGATTCATCAGCACTCCTGGTGCAACTTCCCTTTGGGTGTTTGCAGTGGACACAAACAGATTGAGATTCTGCAGTGGTGTCTCTGCAACAGAAACTGCCTGCCTTTCATTAGTATCTTACTCAAAACCTCGTTTTTTCTACCTTTCTTTTTTCCCTCTGCAGAGTATGCAGAGAACATCGGGGATGGGAAGAACCAGGAGTTCCGGGAGAGCGAGCAGAAACGGATCTTGGACCTGCTGGAGAATTTCTGAGCCCGACAATACAATTCTGGGCTCTTTCCTCCAGCCTCGATTGCACGATACAAGTGACGTTTCTGTGAAACCGCTTCTAAATGGCATTTTGGTGATATTAAAGAGTTTGTTTGTTTTTTAGCCCGTTGTTTGTTATTTCTGTAGCCCGGTGCGAGTGGGGTTAAGCTGCGTGCCTTGCAGCGGGGCAGCTCCAGATCTTTCTTCCTTTCTTTCCGAGTCAAACTCCTGTGATCAGAGCATGAAGCAAAGTGACAGATCCCTTAGAGGAACGATAAGAGGAAGCCCAGATATCTCAAGAGATTATTAGCATGTTACTTGAGCCTGCTAGATGAATGAAAATGTGCAACTCATTCACTGGTGTAAATTTGGGCGGTTGAAGTGTTGATTTGTGCCCAGTTTGACCGCTCTGCGGGCAGCCTCTGCCAGAGGGCAAGCCAGGAATGACAGCCCTTCCTGCTAAATACTGGGAAGATGGTTTGGAATCGAAGGCAGTTTTAGTGCAGGCTGCTGGGGCTCTCACCCCTCCGGAGGGCACGAATGAGCAGTTCTGTCTGGGTCGCACGTGGAATGAAATGGGAAGGGAAGTGATCAGTAAATGCCCACATTTCCGTGACTTCTCCTTTACTCAGGCCTGGGCTGTACCGCTCTGCAGAGCAGTGTTTCCATCCTGGAACAGCCAGCCTGGCTCTCATAGCAGCAGAAAGTTCCCCACGGGAAAAGGGAAAACCCCGGCAATTCCGGCTGCTGCAGCCGCACCGTGGGAGGTGCGGGGGACCAAGCGAATTGCCTCTGACTTATTGATTGCAATGAAGCAGATCGTAGCTCATTTTGCTGTTGCCCTTCACACTTGCAGCGCTTGGGCCACGTGCCGGCTCCTGGCTGGGACAAGGCAGAGCTGAGAGCCTTCTTCATCCCCTCTTCTTGTGCTTAAGTTAATGACCCTGGTCACAAAACACCGCAGCTCCAGCTAGCTGGGGCCTCCTCTAATTTAGAGAGATTTTCACGCTGGCAGCATTTTTCTTAATTTTTTCTTAATCTCTAAGAAAAATGCACTGCCAGAGGAGCTTAAAGGCTTCCTTCAATCATGGCTTCAGTAGGCGCTGCTGGCCTGGGTGGTATCAAATGCCATTATTCAGCACGTCAACATGGAAACCATCATTTCAGCAGGTACAAAAAGCTGGAAAAAAAAAAACATTTTTTATGCAGAGCTTGTTTGAATTCTTTGTCTCTTTCTTCACTCTTTCATTCTATTTTCAGCTCCTATAAAATATTTTTTCCTTCTGTTGGAGACGAGGTGTTTTTTTGGCTTTATTTGAACTTTGAATTCTTCCCTTTCCACACTGCGGACTCTGAATTTAGTTCAACCCCGCTCTGTTGATCCTTGTTTTCTAATGTACTTGCATCTAAAAAGCAGACCAGAAAGGGAGGAGATGAGTGACTTGCGAGACTGATGCAAAGGAGGAGCCTAATGAACCTCAGGTAAATTTGGCCGAAAAGTGGGGGCCGAGTGTCCGTAACGGGGGAAAAGGGAGGTTGATCCTGGGCAAAAGGAGCTTCCCGAGCACAAAGCTGAGCCCCCGGGGTCCAGCCGTGGGCGCCGCGGGGACGAGTGACACCCGGACAGAGCTGCCCTGAGCCCGGTGCTGGGGGCTTCTCCCAGTGCTTCTGGCAGGAATAAACGTCCCTCCCGTCCTGCTGTTCAGCCTGG